TCATGCTGGGTAAGGTGGAGGGTCAGAGAAAAAGAGGAAGACCCCTAACGAGATGGATTGGCCAGGTGGCATCACTGATGGACTCAAGTGTGGCAGCGGCAGTGAGGTTGGCCCAGGATTGGACATTGTTTCGTTCTGCTGTGCATGGGGTCGCTATGAGTCGGTTCTGACTCGGTGGCACCTGACAACAACAACAACAAACATATTTCTGGTATTCTCTACTTTCAGTCAACATCCATTTGATATCAACAATGACAACCCCAATCCACATTATCTTCTGAATCCAGCTTAAATATCTGAACACTTCCTGTCTAGGTATTGCGGCAACTGATTTTGAATTGTAGTTACGTACAGTTGAGTCGATTCTGACATATAGAAACCTTGTGTAGGGTTCCAAAGAGCAGGTGGGGGGTTTGAACTGTCAACCTTGCAGTTCAAACCAATATTGCATTATAGTGATTATCCTGTAAGGCCACATCAGCAAAACTTAACTTGGGTGTGATATTAATAATATTGTTTGATAATGTCTGTATTCTGTTGGATTACCTCTTTTTTTTTTTAGAATATGGCACAAATATGGATCATGTTCAGTCAATTGTCCAAATTTTCTGGTTAGATAAGTGAGCATTTTCATATTTCTTATTATACATGAGTGAGCATTTGCATCTCTGTATCCAGTTGTTGAAATATTTAAATGGGCATTCTGCCAATTCTTGGGACCTCATTTATTGCCAAGCTCTTCAGTGTTACTTGGACTTCTACAATTATCATTGGTGCTTGCTCATTTGCTATCTTCTGAAATGGCTGAATGTTGATCAGTTCCTTTTGCATACTGACTCTGCGTATTCCTTCTATCTTCTTTTGATGGTTTCCTGCATCACTGAATATTTTTGCCCATAAAAATCCTTCAATATTTCAACTTGAAGCTTGAATATTTCCTTCATTTCTTTCACCTGAGAAATGCTGAACATGTTCTTCCTTTTTGGTTTTCTAACTAGTTCTTTGCATATTTCATTATAACAGCTGACTTTGTTTTCTTGAATCTTCAGGTCTTTTTTACTTCATCATTTCTTACTTTTGCTTTAGCCATTCTATGTTCAAGAGCACGTTCCAGAGTCTCTTCTAACATCCATTTTTGTCTTTTCTTTCCTGTTCGTTTGCTTTCTTCACATATGAGGTCCTTGATAACGATATCATTCCACAATTTGTCTGGTCTTTGGTCATTAATGTTCCGTGTGTCAAACCTATTGTTGCGGTGGTCTCTGCTGTGCAGTGAATTATTTCAAATGTTTTTTTTCTGATGGGTATGGGTAAGAGAAGTTGAGAGAAGATGCTGATAAGATGATATGAATAACAAACTGTTAATGGGGCTAACTGTGACTGTAAAAACTTGGAACTCTAACGTGGGTATAAAAGGAGGCATCTCAGAAGCAGGAAGTAGGGAATCTTAATACCATGAAAAAGAAGGAACCTGGAATGGAGCACATCCTTGGACCTCAAGATCCCTACACAATGAGCCTCCTCCACCCAGGGATAGAAAGCTGTAACACTGGAGGAATGGCAGAGGAGTAGCAGTAGCAGAACCAAGAGTCAGAGCACCCATCAGAGTGGTGGAGTTCCCAGCCCTTGGAATAAGTAAAGCTGAGTGCCTTTGAGCAGAAGGCTCGTTTGCAGATTAGGGTGCTTCCAGAAAGTTTTGGGGAGCTAGGTTTGCTGACCCACAGAGCTAGGGATCATTGCCTTTGGGTGGAGGTTTACAGTGGAGCACAGTGTCCTCTGGTATCAGCAGCCCTAAAAGAGTTTTGTTACATTGTTGGCGCATGGTAGAGGTCAAGGGTCAGAAAGAAGCCTGCCTGCAGGCACAGCTGAAGAGAGACGATCTTGACTGTGAGAATTGTGCCCTGAATTATGCCCTGTTAACTTCTCTGATGTGGTGCTATAGGATCAACACTGGACCACAAGGTCGGCAGTTCATACCTACTAGCTGTCCCTCGGAAACCCTGTAGAGTTCGCTGAATCAGAATTGACTTGACAGCACTTAACAATAACAACTTCCCTAAAAACGTCCTGATATGGTGCTGTAGGATAAGCACTGGACTGCAAGGTCAGTTTGAATTGCAAGGTTGATGGTTCAAACGTACCAGCCTTTCTTTTCTGAGAAAAAAAAGGTTGCTATGAGTCAGAACTGACTCAACAGCACATAGCAACATCATCTCTTTCTACAGACGTGGTTGATTTGACTCCTGTGTATTCTATCCACGTGTGTGGTTGATGTTTATGTTGTTAGAAAAAAAGTATTTAAAATGAATTGTGGTGGTCTTGTAAAATTCTATCATGACATTATGGGCAATGTTCTATTACCAAGGCCATATTTTCCAACGGCTGATCATTCTGGTTTGATTTCAACTTTTGTATTCTTGACTGCACGTTTAATCAATTTCAGACTACAGAAATTGGTAAAAATCAAAATTTCTTCATCTTTGGCTTTAGTGATTAGTGCATAAATTTGAATAATAGTCATATTAACTGGGCTTCCTTGTAAATGTATGGATATTTTCCTATCACTGACAGTGTTGGACTTCAGGATGTTTGACAATGAATACGATGGCATTATTCTTCAATTTGCCATTTCTAGCATATGGTTATCCTATTCAAAAGTCCATTTCAGCCAATATATAGGATTTTGATTTTTATGCATTCCATTTCATTTTTCATGCCTTCCAATTTTCCTAGATTCATAATTTGTACACTCCATGTTCTGGTTATTAATTGATATTTGCAGCTGTTTATTCTCTTTTTAAGTTATGTCACATCAACAAATGAACGTTCTGAAAGGTTTACTCCAGCCATTCCAATAAGGTTGCTCTAAGTTGAGGAGGAGCCCTGGCATGGCGCTGTGGGCTAATGCATCAGACTGCTAAGTCGTTTGAACTGCAAGGTCGGTGGTTCAAGCTTACCACCTGCTCCTTGGAAACCCTATACAGGGTCGCTATGTGTCGGAATCGATTTGACAGCACTTAACAACAATAACAACAAGTTGAGGAGGCAACTCTTCACCAATTTGAATGTCTATTACCCTGAGGGGCTCATTTTCCTGTGCTAAGATTTTCAATGGCCAGTTTTTTCAGACGTAGACTGCCACATGCTTCCTCTTAATGTGGAATCTCCGCTGAAACTTATCGACCATAAATGACTCAATAAGATTTGGAATCCCAGTGGCATAGTTATAGAAACAGGCAAGCTACAAGTACAACAAAAACTGACAAGTGGTACAATCTGAACTTAATATAGTTAAAATGTGTCCTCCCAACGTTAATTATGAAAATACTACTTTAAAAAGTAATAATTAGTTTTAAATGTCTGAACAGAGTATACTTATTGAAGCAAAACCCTCTTTAAAATGCAAAATAACTGAATATTAATAAATTATTAACAAATGCACAGAAGTCAACAATATTTTACACTCTCATATAAACAGTTTCTTAACTGAAGTTTAATTTTAATTAAACTCATCACTGAGGCAGTCAAGAGCAAATCATTGAAATATTCCCTGTGAATTGGATATAGGAGATGTATGATACAAAGTGGTCAATGTTTCACTATTCCTTTCATTTTGCCCCTCAAATGTTTGGCCTATAATACATTTTGAAAGCTTAAGAATATAGTATCTCAATAAAGCCTCTAAATCACTTTATAACAAAGGTGATCAAAATAAAGAGGCCTTGGGAACAACTTTTCTCCTAATCTCTGGGTCAGTGGTAGAGAAGGCTACCGTCATTACATTTGGCCCATTGTGGACAGAAGGGGTCTGAGTCTAAAAAAAGGGCCAGTAGCCTGTCAAGTGTTCCCCAGGAGGTCCTGGAAGTGGCATATCCTGTGAAGTCAATTCCAAGGTAGGTGGGAGTCCCTACTGAATATCCTAAAATGTGTCACAGCCAGGAAGTAGTATCTTGCTGGGAGGGAGGGAATCTAAACCTTAGGGTGAAACCTAATGCCTACAATATTATTATTGCTGTTAAGTGCTGTTGAGTCAGTTATGACTCATAGCAACCCTATATAGGGTTTCCGAGGCACAGCTGCTGAGTTTGAAGTGCTAACCTTGCAGGGTTCAGACTGACCTTGCGGCCCAATTCATTATCCTGCAGTGCCATACCAGGATACTATATACCATCAAATCTATGAGTCCATCAATTTTAAGAACATTTCAATTTCAGAGATGTCAAAATATTAAAGATAAAAGTAAAATAACTCTGAAGAGTGTAATGGTATTATTTTTATCTGTTATGATAAAGTTTCTGCCAGTATGTGTTGGCACATACTCTTTACCTTCTACTTTCAGAATTTGCCTTTGATTGATCTCTATAACAGTGCTAATCACAACAAAAAATACAAAATAAAATACTGTTTTGAAAATGACTTTTATCTATAGATAAGTCTTCATTTATAAAATGAATAGCTACTCATTCATAAAGACAGAAAGTAGAATACCTGCAATGAACAACCATGGGCTCTTCCTTGCCAGCTCTCTCATTCCGTACATGGTGAACGAAAGTCAGGAAGTCACTTGGATCATCAGGGACTCCGTGGTCAGGCCAGGCTGTGTACTGGATCTGAGTGAGCTGACGAGACTCATTTTTCTACAGGTAAATAAAGATTATGCACTCTCACTTAAGAGAAGCAAAAATCGTTTCTTCTCTTCCCTTCAAAGCAGTAATGTATAAACTCAACCGCAAAATTTCAACAAAACAGACTAATCATTTTATAGGAAAAAATGATCTCTCTGTAAGTCTTTATTACTTGAGTCAATATTTTCCATAACTCAGTTTTCATATTTGTAGTTAATACAAATAACAATCAAGTAAATGGGCAAAAATAAAGTAAGACACAGAGAGAAACTTACAAAACTAGAATATTATTGTTAAGTGTTATTGAGTTGGTTCAGATTCATAGCGACCCTATCTAGGGTTTCAGATGCTTTAAATCTTCCTGGGAGTAGAAAGCCTCATCTTTCTCCTGCAGAATGGCTGATGGGCTTGAACTGCAGATCATGTCGTTTGTAGTACAGTGATTATCGTGTGGAGTCACTGTGAGAACATTATTAGAGGTGGAAAAATGGTAAAGAAAAAATTTTCTGAATAAAGTTGAGAGTCCTGGTGTGGTGCTGTAGGATAAGCACTGGACTGCTAATTGCATGGCTGGCCATTCAAGTCCACCAGCTGCTCTTCAGATACGGTCACTATGAGTTGGAACCAACTCCTTCACACATAACAACAACAGTCCTGACAAAATACAAGTGAAATCTGTGAAATTGGAAAAATAAAACCTCAGAAAGTAAATAAATGTTAATTAAAATCTGGAGACCATAAAACACAAAGTCCAATCAGGGTTTCTTTTTCCTTTTATTTCTGTGCCAGTGATTGGTATAATAAGACATATCTAGTTTCAAAACTTCTCTCTGCTAGATGTGGCACTTATTAATAAGCCAGAGTGTCCCTTTCCTCAACAAACAAATAAAATGACATCTACAGGTGAAAGGCACAGCCTTGTGACGACCCTATCAAGTAGATGGCATCAAATGCTCAAACACAAGTCACTCAGCACTATGAAATCTAGTTACAGTCATTCACAGGAAAGGGAGATCTAAGAAAACACCATGAAAGTAAAAGGTTATTGAGAATATGCTGAAGGTACATTACACACACAGCCTTATTTTTCATACCAATTTGGGGATATTAGTTGATCTTACTGGCTTGCCACTGTTGTTATAGTAGACCACAAGTTGTACAGGAGACATCCTAAATACTAAATTCATCTGATGAAATTTCTAGCCCATAAGATTTCAAAAGTTAATTTCATTTTCTGTTTCCCATAATTTTAGCTTTTGTCAAAACTATATTCTCTCTTTTTTTTTTTATCAGCACAACTTCTAGTTCCTTACTCTTTTTAGTCAATTAGGTAAATCTTGCTGGGCTCCTTTAGTAATACTACTGGGGAGTGGTTGGTGATGATGGTGGAGCTCCCATTTCCAAAAGCTCTAGTGGTGCAGTGATTTAAGTGCTCAGCTGTTAACTGAAAAATTGATGGTTTGAACCCATCAGACTCTCCACAGGAGAAAGATGTGGCAGTCTGCTTCTGTGAAGATTTACAGTTCTGAAAACTTTATGGGGCAATTCTACTCTGTCTTAGAGGGTAGCTATGAGTTGGAATTCACTCAAAAGTGGTGAGTTTGGTTTTGGAGTTTTTAAACCATTTATGAAGAGGAGCCGTGGTAGCACAATAATGAAACCACTTGTCACCTGACCCACCAGCCATTGTGTAGGAGAAAGATGTGGCAGTCTACTTCTGTAAAGATTTACAGCCTTGAAAATGCAATGAAACAGTCCTACTTTGCCCTTGATGGCAGTGGGTTTTGGAGCTTCTGGAACAACTGATGGCATAGGCCTGGGCCTTCAAGGGTTGTACTTCTCTAGCAGGTACTTTCTTCTTTTTCTGTTCTTATTAGGAGCTGTCACGTCAATTCTAACTTATAGTGACCCAATGTGACAGAGTCCTGGTGTTGCCTTGCAGGTTAATGTACAGGACTGCAAGGTCAGCAGTGTCGCTAAGAGTCAGAACCTACTCAAGGGCACTTACCAACAACGTTACAGAATATAACTGCCCCATAGTGTTTCCTAGCCTGTCATGTTTCCAGAAGGAGATTGCTAAATCTTTGCCCCCAAAGAGCTGCTGGGTGGGTTCAAACCAACCTCTGGTTAGACATCTAACACTTAACCACTGTGCCTCAGGGCTGCTGCTTTGTCTAGCTACCTTCAAAATCAGTGGCTGGTAGGGCACTGTCTAGCTGCTTCCAGTGCAAGTGGGAAACGCTGTCTTTAGTAAGCTGACAGGATAATGAAAAATAAACAAACCATCATGCTGCCTTCCACATATATCTTCTAACTGGACTACTGCGCCTTTATCTATACATCAGTTCCCATTTGTCACAGATGTGGAAGCCATGGGAAGCATGAGCCAGGTGACAATAAAAAGAGCAAGTAATTAGAAAGCTATTGCCTTTCAGTCTTCTGTCAAAGTGTCCTGCCTACATCCTCCACTTCCTCAGTATTAAGGAGACTGAAATTTCTCGCCTCTAATCTTTCCAAGGGATTTCTTGTATGGCGCTGCAGAATCAGTACTGGACTGTGAAACACAAGGCTGGACAATTCAAACCCACCAGCTGCTCCTTGGAAACCGTATACAGGGTTGCTATGAGTTGGAACCAACTTGATGGTTCTTAACAACAACAATCTTACCCAAAAGAAAAGTAATTTAATAACTTACAACTACTCTTTCCCAAAATGTTTACGTACCTATCCACTGCTGTTGAGTCATTTCTGCAGTATCATGGTAACCCTATAGGACAGAGTAGAGTAGGGTTTCCAAGACTGTAATCTTTATGGAAGCATACTGTCACATCTTTCTCCCACAGAGCTGGTGGGTTTCAACCACTGACCTTTGGGTTAACAGCCAAGCACTTTAATCCCAGAAGTAGCAGGGTTTAAAGGCTCTATGGGCCTCCCGGGTTGGTGAACTGCACAGATGTATGTGGATGAGCACAATCCTTTTTCGGACATGGAAGCTCTACCTTGGGAGCCCTCCAAGACTTTCCCTATGTGTTTCTTCATTTGTATTCTTCTTGCTATAGTAACTGTTAAGTATAGCGCTTTTTGTGAGTTGTTCTAGTGAATTAAAAGACCCAAAGAAGCAGTAAGAGCCAACAAGTTTGAAATGAGGGTGGAAGCTAAAATCTTGGTAAGACTTTGTACTCTGGAGGGCTGTGGCCCTTTTTCACTATTAGATGTGGTGGGGTAAAGGTCAGAGAAAGAAGTACTGCATTATGCAGCTGGTGTCAGAATTAAAAACAAGTATAATAGTCAGTGACTGATAAAAACAAATTCCAAAGTATACCAAAGAAACAATGGTTCAGTTTTTTTTTTTTTTTCTGTACTATTTATTTGTAACCAGTACTCACTAAAAACATTTCAGATTTCAAGCTTTTACTTTGAACTTATTTCTAATGAATGAATATCCTTGCTTTCTTACCTCCTGGTTAAACAGTGTCATCTTCCTGAAGATATAGGCAGTGTTTCCTTCTTCTGAGTGGCAGGTGACTAGGTAGCACCCATAGGATGAACTTCCTGTGGGTTCTGGCCAATACTGGTGACATTTAACCTGGCATCAATAGGTTAAAAGAAAACAAACATACATATATGAAAGTAAGACAAAAAGTATTGCTATAAAATTACAGTTGTGGTTAAGTGCTGTCTAGTCAGTTTCAACTCATAGTGATCCTGTAGAGGGTTTCTGAGGAATGGTTGGTGGGTTTGAACCACCATCTTGTGGTGCAAATAGACCTTGCAGTCTACAGCACCACACTAGGATCCATTAAAAGTCATAAGATTTTTATTAAACAAAAATATCAAAATATGCAGCTACTGTTTCTCAACATAACCTCCTAGTATAGGTCCAAACACTATGGAAGGCAGTATTCCCCTCTCTCTAACACTTTCCTGAAGAATTCTGCACTCATTGATTTAGACTATGTCAAAATGGCAATTTGGGCATCCTTGAGGGGCTCAAATTATGTCCCTTTTAATCGTTCTTTGGGTTTGGGGAATAAAAAGAAGTCTGAAGGGGTAAGATCAGGGTCGATGTGGTAAGGTATCCCAATTAAACTCTTGAACAGTCCTTGCTACCCTTGAAGAACGAGCAGGCTAATTGTAGTGATGGGAAAAATCTCCTTGGTGCAACTTTCCTGACCTTTTTCTTATTGTTGTAGCTTTCAATTTTCTTAAAACTTTCTTCCTAATAAGCCCTTGTGATCATCCTATCCCTTTGAGAAAATTTATCAAGATTGTTGCTGAGGGCTGTCAAGTTGGTCCCAATTCACACTGACACTATATAGGCTTTTTGAGAAGTGGCGGCTGGGTTTGAATCGCCAATCTGAGTTAGCCATCCAGTACTTACGCTGCACTGCTATACTGGGGATCCTATCAAGACTACCCACCCATTACTGTTGTTAAATGCCGTCAATTTGGTTCTGACCCATAGCGACCCTGGGTAGGATTTCCAAGGAGCAGCTGGTAAGCTTGAATCGATGACTTTTTGGGTTAAACCGACTTTGCAGTCCAGGCATTAACCCACAGAGGCACACCAAGACTCCCAGACTACCCCTATGGAGCAGAGGACCATCAAGAGGGAAAGACATGAGAAGAGCGAGGGATCCTAACCAGAAAAGGGGCAACAATAGGAATGGTGGCAGAGACAAGGCACAGAGACTGAGAATGGCAGTGTACCTGTGGGCAGGAGGCTGGTCTGCAAAATGGGCCCTTTGAACATTTAAAATGAATATGTATTTTCAATGTGGTATGTGAAGGTGAGAAAAAAAAAAAAAAAAAGGTAACAGAGGTAAATACTGTTAGCTGATGGTGTGTGGAGGGGATTGTAATCATGCAATGATTAATGAATGCAAAACTGATGAACTGCCCTGTAAACCTTTGCTTGCTCAATTTACAATAAAAACTACACACACACACACAAAAACAACCCCTATGTAATCCCAAAAAAGTTGCCATTCCCTTGGAAGCTACTGTTCTGAATCGACCTTTTTTTGGAAGGTATGCTTATGAAACTAAGACAAGTATTTTCCTCAGAGAGCTTGTCTGTGGCTATGCACCAATCACAGAGACATGTTTAAACATTCTTTGTTTGGAATAAACCTGTGCATGTAAGAACTTGAACCCCAGTAGCAATACTTTTTGATTTATAGTATATGGATTCATGCTCACTAATTTATAAAACTTCTTATTGTGAAGTTTCACAGAGAAAATCACCAGCTTTACATTCAACAAAACACTTTTTGTTTCATTTCAATGATTACAATTCCCTCCATGTAATAAATTATTCTGCTTCCTTCCTGTAGTTCCTATTTCCATTTCACCCTCCTCCCCATCCCTGTTCAACTTTGCCCTTAGGTAAATGATGCCCATTTACTAATTTTTAAATGTTTTAATTTTTAAGAACTTTCAGATTTAAAGTTGCAGGAATAATATAAATTAATCACCATATACCTTTCACTTTGTTGTTGTTACTAAGTATCATAAGTCGTTTCTGACCCATAGTGACCCTATATGCGGTTTCCTAGGAGCGACAACTGGTAAGCTTGGACCGACAAATTTGCAATTCACACTGACTTTGCAGTCCAGCACATTACCCCACAGCACCACACCAGGACTCCTAGATTTGCCAACTATTAACAATTTTTTCTTTGTTACCTTTTTACCTTTGTAATAATAAGCAATCTGTTTGGATATATTCTGAAATTATACAAATATCCTGTTTCTGCTCAATGTTCTACCATTCATGCTGAAGTCTTGCCTGAACCAATTACTATGACGGCTGAAACATGATGCACTATTTTAGATAATCCTAGATTTAATTTAACAACAAAGTAAAGAATTAACAACTAAAATACTATTTTGTTTCATAATTAACATTTGTAACAGTATTACTGAGATATAATTGGCATACCATACAATTCACTGATTGAGGTATACAATAAAGTCCACCCATAATTTTCCTAGCAGTTTTATTTATAATAGCCAAACACTAGAAACAACCCAAATGAAGAATGGATAGATAAAATACAACTACACATCACTTTTCAATTATCTTGTTGTCTGATATTTGGAATTTATGAAATCAGTTAAAAAATCTATTATGTAGACTTCTGTGAACCCAGTGAAGACCTGGTTGGCCAGCAGTGTGGCAAGACCTGGGGACTCTTGGGCCCAGAGTCAGTGACATAGCCACAGAGGACTAGAG